GGAGTGGGCTTCGTGAAGTCCTGCTTTACGTGCTTATGAAAGGAAGAAACACTTCTGGTGTATCTGCTGAAAAATGTTGTTTCTTGTCATGCTGCTGCTGTTTGTGTTGTTAACATTACCAAGGGAATAAACACATCTAGTTTTATTTTCAAAGTATTAAATACTATCCTCTAGAGAAAATATTCATTTGRTGATAGATTTGAATATCAAGTTTGTCACGAGAAAAGCTGTTGTCCATAATTTAATAGCTCTGTAAATCATGCATGGTAAGCTAATACATCGATTGTTATCCAAAAACCATGATAACTAGAAAATAAAGGCTTGCAATTATAGTATGGATAATGAATTAGTTGATTAGAGTTAATGGAATTTTCATCCAATTTTGATGAATAGCTACTTGGTATATTTTGAAAATATCTTATATTGGGTAATGTTATGCTTGGTGAATAAAGACAAAGTGCATTGCATACRGTCTTCCATTCACAGAAGGGAAAAGRAAAAGRAAAGGTCAACCTATGAAGACTCTTTTAAAGCTACTTGCATGTAAATGGCCTTATTTCAAAACTTCAAGCAATACAAATATATGACTCACATATATCTATTAAAAACAATTTTGGGAAAATATTTGTTTTGGAATTATCCCACATCAGATAAATTTTGATTCAAAAGATGGAAAAACAAAAGGATGGAGTAAATGACGTCATCTACTCCAACATTTTTTGTTCAAATTATCAAGGATTTGTATCAATATCTTCCTGAAATCTGTTGCTTCATGATTATTAGACCCATATGGATAGTTCTRTTTGATTTCCAAGTCTTTTCTAATGTTTCGCAATTTTCGTCCAAAGCCCTTTAAGATMTATATATAAACGATTGAACGATCACGACACAAGTCAAATACTGAAAGCTTGTTTCAGGCGAAAGGAAAACAGTCAGCTATTTTTATTTTAACTAGCAATGGTTGAATGTCACTCTAGTAGAATGACAGCCAAATATCTCTCTAGGAGAGATGGKCGAACAGTTGATTGATTGTGGTACTACAATGCAATTCCCTGCAGGGAAACGTCATGCAAAAGGTCAAACGTTGCAAATATTTTTTGTTAACTCTTAACTGCGATTAAAACATGTCTACTTACAATGTAATACCTGCAGGAGAGGATGATAACTTCAGCTTAATGCATGATCTGATTGATGCAATTGACGAGTTGAACGGAGATCTATGTGAGTTATCAATTCATATTGGAGTAACTGTGGTCGAACCGAACCAGCGTTACAAGTTCGTTCCCAGGGCTTCTCTTCTACCTTTTTAACAGGAAGAGATGCTGTTCAGAGCAGCCAAAGTTTTAAAATTCTAGGCAAACTTTATAGACTTTGTTCAAAAGAAAACGATTGATCATGTCTACTTACAATGCAATACCTGCAGAAAAGGATGATAANGTGCAGTCATTTTTCTTTTCAAATAAAGGGCAATTAACCTTTCTAAACTCGAATGACATAGTTTTATCAACATTGCGCAAGTAGCTCTTTACTCAATATATTTTGCTGAGGATAACGAGGTTTATTGTAGGTTTCTGTTATATGGTAACTCATGTAACATTGACTAATGTCCGCTGTTTCAGTTCCTTGCTGCACGATAATTTATGCCTCACATTTTACCATTATAGCGAACACGTTTCTGCCAGAGGTCCCGTAAACTGAGTCAGTGTGTCCCAATATACTTGTGCGCGTCAGTTCTTTTGTTCTCGGTTCACAAAGCGGGACCTAATAAGTCATATGCACTATGGTTTCACGTTCTGCAATTATTAGGATGGCACTAATACACAACCTTTTGGGTAGGGTTAGGGATAAACTTCCCGTTTACACCGTTGAGATTTTTGCAGGCAATTGCCGCGCGATAATCGCCACTTTGCTATCGAGCAACTAAAATCGTACGTGTAAACAGCCCTGCGATTGTTGCGTCGATGGAAAATCTCCGCGAGGTTGCTGCCAATTTTCAAGCATGTTCGAAACTCAAGCGATGTTCGCGCCATGTTTGCCAAGAGAATCGCTCTGCAAGAAGTCCCAAGTGTAAAAGGGCCTTAAGGGTTAGGCTTGGGGTTGTACTAGTAATCAGGTTGTAATCAGGTAATCGGAATCAATGCCAGTATTTTGGCTGGATATACTACCAATTCAAACCACGCTGGTATTCAACCGAAAATACCATTTTCATAGTGAAGAGATTTTGTTGAATTTCTTGACGATAAATGGGAAGATGTGGATGAATGGGTGATATACATTAGCCTCGCATCAATGAATAATCATCATAATATCACAAAGATATTATGAAAGGTGTTTTCAAAATTGAACTTTATTCTTCAAATATCAATATTTGCTGCATCATTTACAAATACTGAAGCTTTGACTGCAGAAAAACACAACTTGGTCTAAACAATATATAGCTTTTTAAGTTAAAACATCAATAATTTTTATCGTGGATTGGATACTATAATGGAAGACGATCCGAAAATATTTGATTGTTTTCATGTTGTCACCAGTTTAGAACTTTGTACTGAATCCACACTGGGCCATCTTGAGTTTTCTAATTCATAATAAAGTTCCTGGAAAAKAATAGTGCAGATAAGTTGCCAAGTAGGTCGTATCCAGGATTTACATTGAGTAGGGGGTCCTTACATACCAAATTGTCACTATGACAGCATTGTCACTATGACGGCACACGATTTGAATTGAAAYGACCCCGAGAAGACAGAAAACTGAATTTCTTAATTCGAAACAATTCCTCACACACTGCACTGTGCAATGTTTATATATTTTTGGCTTTGAAAGGGGATCACGAGGACACTGCGCCCCGCCCCGCCCCATCCTCCCTCCCCCCGGATACGGCCCTGTAAAGTCTATTTTATATAAATCATTGTGTGATAGAAGCTGAAATTATCAAATCCATTAGATAAATCCTTATCCAGAAGATTTGATATGTGTACAAAATCAACGTAGGAACGGACACCAACATTGTTATCATTATCCACATCATATCTATATAATGTTTTGAGGAATATACTGGATATTATCTTACATTATCTGTATCAATMAGTTGTTTATTTTCTGCACCAATGTCAATAGGTTCATTGGGATCTGTAGATAACGCAAAAGTATAATAAACACAGCATTCCATCACTTTATTCTCGATCTATAAACAAACCCCTTTGCACTGCACTGTTGGAGGGTTACAGTTATTGGATCTTTTCATGAAAATAAATATTTGATCACATCATTCTTACCTTCTACACTTGTGTCGACTCCATGAACAACAGATGCATCTTGTTCATATGTCTGTCCCTACAATTGAAAATAGAGGATATTCAAGTGGTGATAGTGTTACCAGGGAGGAGCATTATCAGTGCATAAACAGCATGATGCCCTAGATTCAACTACTCTGACTAAACAAAAGAGAACACTAGAATTTTCATACTTCAACAAACGAATTTTCCCCCTGACAAATGGAATATTCAAAAGCATGAAACACAAGGAAACAAAACATATAGTTAGACATTTTTCTCCTCTCTGATCAATCATAATTACATCTACAATTGGGATACCTGTGTTGTATTAGTTTGTTGCTGGTAATCATACATATATTGTGGATACTGTTGATACTGTTGATAATATTGCTGATAATGATAGCCTTGCCACGCCTGTACATATTGTTGATATTGTTGATATTGCTGCGCATAAGAGTTGTACTGATTCGTAAGCGAAGGAGTAGTTCCATAAGTTTGTGCTGTAGAGTTTGCAGGTTGAGGTCTAAATATTAGAGAATGATCCTATCAATCAYTATAATGTGTATCATCTAAAGTCTAGTGCAAACACTACCAGCATTTGTTTCAACATCAAATCTATTTTGTTGAACACTGTAGAACAGTGTTGAATGATGCTGCAATACAGCTTTCAACATTTCGTTAGGTTTTATGTTGCTCAACGGCAATGTTGATTGGATATGTGTGGAGTTTTCAACATGTGTCAATGCCAACTACAAAGAATACTGCACAGACGCATTATTGAAATAACAGAACACACAGCTTCAACATCTATAAGAACAAAAGAAATTGATAAAGCAAGTTTCAACAATTTTAAATTGTTTCAAAATTGTGATTCAACAGGTTCAACATTGCTGTTCAACAAAATTAAGCAAATTTTGATGCAAATGTTGAATTGCACCAGCATTAACCTTGTATAATAAAATACTATGTAACAGAATGTGTGCATCTCAATCAAATARTAGCAACCTTTAATTCGAAATACTATATTTACGAGTGCATTATTCTTACTTTTTTGGAGTTGCTGCACTCACACGAATTGGTTTACCACCACAACCAACTGCTCCCTGCATTTCAGTCATTGCTCTTTTGTGCTCTCTTTCATCAAAGAACCGAACAAAACCATAACCTCTGGGAATAATAAATCAATTTAGACCATCAATTCTCTGAAAATTACTAGCACAAACAAGCAAGGCAGCAGCACAGCTCGTGTGTTGCATTCTTGTTTAAGATTGATACATTAACAAGTTAAGTCCTGCCTGTAGTCCTAACCTTGAGTTCCCAGATGCATCTAATACAACTGAAATAGAGAATGACATAAAATACATGTCAATAACCATTTTAAAACATACTAAACAGATTAAGAAAGATGAAAGCTTACCTTTAGCTGCTTTACATGAAGAGAATTTCTTCTGGAAAAAATCCTTCAAAAGAATACATGTTCTGTTTAGGATTTACAGGGCAGAGACAAATAGGAATACAGGGGGGGAGTTGAAGACAATGAATCAAAGGTGTATATTGCCTATCATCATTTCACAGCATTACCTGTAGTTCTACATCAGTTACTTCAGGTGTCAAGTCACCAACAAATATTGAAAATTCAGGACCTCTGAAACAAAAATTGTATCTTTTTAAAAATAAAAAAAAGTGCTACTTGTATCATAGTTAGTAGTAGTTACTAACTATGCCTGTATGAAAAAGCTCTAATTAAAAACTGTGGTACTTCAAATATTTATTAATACCAATAGTTTCTTAAATTTTTTTTAAAAATTGATATGGAGAACATTATGATTATTGTGTAAAGAAGTATACAGATTGTTGAAAATCCTCACAATCGTACATTTGCAAATATGTACAAGTTTCATCATCATTATCATCACCATCATCAGTATCGAAAGTGAAAGAGCCATGCTACTTTCATGCCATGAAAAAGTTAGTATTGTAGTCAATGGTTTCTCAATTCAATGGCTTCAATAGAATCAATACCACAAGAGATTCCATGGCTTTGTTGTATGTTGTCCTATGGCGTTATCCATTGCACAATCATACAAAATGTACCTCTTACGTACTGCATTAAATTATCACTATCAGGTCTACTTACAAGTTTGTCAGGTCTTTTCCATAAGTTGCCCAGTTAAGTTTATATCTTTTGATCTGCAAAGTGAAAGCTCACATTATTCTTTGCAGCGTAACAATCCAAATTGCCATTAAGTTGATAAAGATACAAATCTGCACAGTCTTAAGAGCTAGCAGGAATGGTATATACACATTACTTTGTGAATATATATGTAGAGGAATAGAAATGAAACAATCAGACCATATTCTCTACAGAACTGTTTCGCAAGTCGACTACGTCAACTCACTCGTCAGGAGATTTATTAACATTCAAGGGACTACAATGACGATAGCATGTGGAAGGCTATTTACATGTAGTTGTTCAATTAGAGTTAATTGTTACAGAGCAATGCTTTTCTTCTGTGCCTTCACGATGATGTGAATTTGTTGCTTTTGTTTAATGAACACAGTTCTCGATGACAGGTGATAATGTATTTTCAAGCAAACTTTGTGAATACATTTGTATATGCCCAACAATTCTTTCTATTACTACTGTACTTACTGGGTTACTTCCAGTGACAGGTAAACCATTTAGCTTTGTAAGTGCTCTCTGTGCAGAGTTTGAGTCACTAAAGTCTACAAAACAGTACCCTGCTGGTGCTCTGAGAAAACAAAATGTGTTAACACTTTCTGATCACCTTAGAATTCTACATATCAATCTGCAATCTCTCCCAAATAAGCAAGGAATCACCAGATATCGGGTATCATTTCCTGGTCTCTCTTATGTCTTGGTTAATCATCAATGTTGATAAATGCTGGCTTGACATAAATCTTAGACGGTATTTCTACTATTTCTGCGATGTTATGAAAATATTACCATGTCCAAGACACACAAAAAATTATATCGGTCTCTTTTATCTAAATTGTAGAGCCTGTTTAAGACAATTTCGGGTGAAATGTATACCCTGTTTAAGACAGCAAGGCCAAAAACCATACCCTGGCCAGCAGCACGTCCCCGTATAGCAAATATATGGGAGTACCCCCCCCCTCCCCCCCGGCCTCATGCATCCAAAAGCTTTCAAAACACTACCAAAACTAGTATGTTTAAAATAATGGGAACAAGAAGCTGAACTTGCACAAGGATCACCAAATGAGCCCAATGTCGTGGGTAATCTATTAAACTCATTAATGAATCTCCAGATATGAAAATTTAAGTTTTATACCCCGTTGTCCTGTTTTTTATTATCTTTACAGAAACTATTGTCTCTCCCATGGCTGCAAAAGCGTTCGTAACAAAAGCTTCGTCCATATAGGTGTCCAACTGAAGAAAACAAGCACAAAATTAAAACTATTTAAGTTTCTGTGAGTTCTACTGTGAGAGGTAAGCTCTTAAACTTATATGCAAAGTAATAAGCTTAACTTAAGTTACATACACGTGAATTTCCACTACACATTTCAAAATGGCGGGCTGAATAGTATTACAAATAAACGACTTCGACATAGATTTARCGTTTTTAAGGTACTTACATCGCCCATCCATAGCGTCGACATATCATAAGCTTTCACGAAGAAATAGAAATCTATAAACTTCACCGATCGATAACATGCAATTTTCAACTTTCATTAACTGAGCCCGCGCACTAGAAGGTCAGTGAGGCATGAAGTGTAAGTGTAATGTTTGGGCTTCCTGTGGGTTTGGCGCCAAATCACAGCTGATCGMGCAACATCCACACAAACGAAAGATTATTTCCATTTATTGTAATCTTAATTCTTATTTACACTTTTAACTTAAAATAAATCAATGTCAAATAAATATAATTACATGTAATAGTACCAACTTTTAAATCGGTACTATTAATAATAATTATTTGACATTGATTTATTTTAATTAAAATTATTTGAGTATTAATTATTCAATAATTAATTTTGTTTCTTTAGAAATGCCATATTTATGCTTGTGTTGGTGAAAGAGATTAATAAGGCCCTGRATGTACTTCTTGTGGAGATTATCCAGTTCTTTTGGCGAGGGATTAGATATAGCTTTCTTCACAATTATAGGAGCTCCAACTATAAAACATAAAGAAACATCTGTAAATAAATGGATGTGAATGGAAAAATTAGAGTTCTGTGTGGATACTTATTTTTGACAGTAGTAAAGGTAAAGGCATGTCGTCAACCCAAAATGAATAATTAATGAATACATGTTTGCATTGGAAAAATGTTTGTATCTRCCCATTAGAGCGGATTTCCTATGAGTGGGACACCGTTACCGCACGGTTACCGCACAGTTACTGGACCTGGCCTGCAAAATTTTGGTGAACCAATG